TGCCGCACCTTTGAGGCTTTGCTCCCGGTGTCCCTGGTCTGCTGGAGACGGTGCCAGAGCAAAGCCTCAGAAGTGTGGGAACCTGCCGCTGCTGCGGCTTTGCTCCCAGTGCCCCTGGTCTGCTGGAGATGGTCTCCAACAGACCAGGGGCACCAGGAGCAGCTTTTCTCGCCCCGGAGGTCGAGGTGGCGGATCGCTGCCTGCAAGCTCCGGTGCAAGAAAGCCCCATTCGTAAGTCGGATCCGCGTAAGTCGGGGACTGCCTGTAGTAACCCCCTCCTCACAAGAGGAACAGATGTTCCCTGACAGACATGGAACCTGTTTTTTCCATTCAAATGAAAGGTGAACAATTTAAGTGTTATATGGTGTTGATAGTGTACAACAAAGTAATAGAGCAGCAATCCCACGTAAGAAATCCTGATTGTTTTTTCCTAGATTCCAAAGGCAGAAGGAAATTGTGACCAGCTGGTCTGACCTGCAAAATGCATGCAATAGAATTCTCAAAGTAATTCCTAGAGCAGGGGGGAGGGGATCAATATCACTTCTAAATTTGATTTAAGAATTCTTAGGGGTGGAATTCACCAAGACTTTGAGTAAACTGTCCCACTGGTTAATTACTCGTTTAAAATGTATGCTTTATTTGCAGTTTGAATTTGTCTAGCTTCAATTTCCAGGCATAGACTATAATCAAATCACACCTTAATCATCTGTTAAGAAAGCGCATCACCTAATAAACCTTGTTAGTCCTATTTTTTGTTTGAGTTCCTTCAACATAGCTAAGGCACATTTTCCAATCCTTTAGTCGTTCCTGGTGCCCATCTCTGAACTCCTCCACTTAACATCTTTCGGTTATGTCCAGACTGGCCAGTTTTTCCCAGAAAGTCAGCCACTTTTCCAGAAAAGCTTGCCAGCTGTCTACACTGGCTGCTTGAATTGCCGCAAAAGCACTGACCATCTCATGTAAGATTGTCAGTGTTTTTGTGGAAATACTATGCTGCTCCTGTTTGGGCAAAAGTCCTTCTGTGCAAAAGGGCCAGTGTAGACAGCTCAGATTTGTTTTCCACAAAAAAGCCCCCATTGGGGCTTTTTTGCGGAAAAGCACATCTAGATTGGCATGGACGCTTTTCCGCAAAAAGTGCTTTTGTGGAAAAGCGTCTGTGCCAATCTAGACGCTTTGTTCCAAAAATGCTTTTAATGGAAAACTTTTCCGTTAAAAGCATTTTTGGAAAATCATGCCAGTCTAGGGCTATGTCTAGACTGCAGGCTTCTTTCGAAAGAGGCTCTTTCGAAAGATCGCGTCTAGACTGCAGGCGGATCTTTCGAAAGAGAAATCCGCTTTTTCGAAAGAGCACCCAGCGAGTCTGGATGCTCTCTTTCGAAGACGGCCTCTTTACATTGAAGAACGCCTTCTTTCGAAAGAGGAACTTTCAAAAGAAGGCGTTCTTCCTCGTGAAATGAGGTTTACCACCATCGAAAGAAAAGCCGCGTTCTTTTGAAATAATTTCAAAAGAATGCGGCTTGAGTCTGGACGCAGGAGAAGTTTTTTCGGGAAAAGGCTACTTTTCCCGAAAAAACCCCTGAGTCTGGACACGGCCTAGATGTAGCCTTCTTGTGTTGTGGAAAGAAGAACTGGATACGGTATTCCAGCAGTGGCTGCACCAGTGCCAAGAAGGGAGGTAGAATAGCCTCTACTCCTCACAATTGCCCTGTTTACTCAGCCAAGAATTACATTAGTCTTTTTGGACACACCCTTGCCCTGGTGTGATTATCTACCTCAACTTCGTTGATTCCTGGGATAGAGAGGTGATGGAAGGATTCTTTTTTGGGTTTGGATGTATGCAGGTTATAATGAACCATATTAGAAACCCAAGCCACCACACACATTTGCTTTGCACCCAGCTTATCAAGTAACCCACAGTACTTTGTATTAGCCACCTTTTCCTCTTTGTTATTTACCACTCCAATTTGGTCATCCTCAAACTATATTGCTGGATTTTGTTTTCTTCCAGGTCATTGATAATACTGATTTTAGGCTCCCCGTAGCCATTAAGGCCTCCTTTCAACAAAACACTTCAGCACTCACTGGAGTTCATAGCTTATACAGGCAGTCCCCGGGTTACGTACAAGATAGGGACTGTAGGTTTGTTCTTAAGTTGAATTTGTATGTAAGTCGGAACTGGTACACATTGTAGGGGAAACTCTCGCCAAACATTTCTCCAGAGCTCAGTTTTATTCTCCCATACCTCACTTCCCTCAGTCCTTTATTCTCAAGCTGAGGTGTCTGCTGAGAAAAGCCGCTCCATGTCTCCCTGGTCTGCTGGGGGGAAGCAGCTAGTGCGGGGTTGCCTCACCCTGTTTGTAAGTAGGGATCCGATGTAAGTCGGATCCATGTAACCCGGGGACTGCCTGTACATTAAAATGTCAATAGAGGTAAGTACCAGGTTATAGTGTACTCTCACCAGAAAGCAACCTGAAGGGAAACTTCAACTGTTTCAAACAGATGAGCATATTCTCTCAGTTTAACTCTGACTTTGCTTTAAGATTATGCCTATGGCAGTTAGAAAAATTTTGCATCATAATGGTTGTTCCACTTGATACAATTGTATTGCCTTTGTTATCAATGAAATATGAATAGGTGAACCAAAATGCAGTCTGCTGTTAACTGTACCTTGCCATTCTAGTGAGATGATAGCCCCATCATCTGTGATGTAATACTTGTTTTAGGCTCTCCTGTGTAACCAGTTAGCTTTCATAAAATCTTCACCTAAAGAAAACCTTTAGTATTCCACTATATTGACAATGCCACTTCATGTATCTGAAAGTTTTATTTAACATCCACAACTGTTCAGAATAGTTACATCATGACTGAAATGGACTGCTTAGCTGTGTGCAATCCTATTGAAATACTACCAAACGGTGAAGAGTCAAAACTGGAGAGTAGAGGAGCTTTGTTTGCAAAACTGAGGTCGTTTGTAGCACGCTCCAACCCAGGATGGAGACAATGTCTTCATGCTTTCCGATAGACTCTCGTACACTTACAACCATTCATGTCGCATACCTAGAAAACAAGACAGTAGTATATAGGCTAAATCACTGTAGACTACAGCTTCAGAGGGGTAGCCAAGTTAGTCTGTAACAGCAAAAAACCAACACCACCAAAAACCTTAGTCTGTAAAGTGCTACTAGACTACCAAAATACATAGGTGGTGTGCTGAGGACAGGGTAGCATAGTCAAGTTGGATTCCTGCATGGGGATCTTAGCGTATAGTTGTTTAAACAATTGGATTAACCACCAATTGGGGCCAGGAGAGCACTGGGTGCTGAGCCCGCCCACCCCTCCAGGAGCATTTTAGTAACTAAATTTTTTGCAGCTACAGGCAGTCCCCCAGTTACGTACAAGATAAGAACAAACCTACAGTCCTTAAGTTGAATCTGTATGTAAGTCGGAACTGGCGTCCAGATTCAGCCGCTGCTGAAACTGATCAGCGGCTGATTCCAGGAAGCCGGGGGCAGAGCAACTCTGCCTCGGGCTT